CGTAAAACATTTCTTCCTTCTATCTAGTCTGAATCTCCCCTCTTTTAGTTTAAAACGATTCCCCCTTGTCCTGTCGCTACAGGCCCTACTAAAAAGTCTGTCCCCATCTTTCTTCTAAGCCCTCTTTAAGTATTGAAAGGCTAAGTTTTTAGCCTAAAGAAAACTGTAATTATTTCATTCCTCACCCTGAAATCAAGACTTCAATATTTCCTTGAATTCAGCTATACTGTCACTGCTGGTAACTGGTGGCTGGCAATGGAACAGTTAACCTAGCTCAGGTTGCATGGCCACGATGGGATGCTGTAGCTGAGCCTCCAGCCATCTTTCTGGCAAAATGTCATTAAGAAATCTACCACCATCCAGCTTGCATCTGTGCTGTGAAATACGGCGGGTACCACCCAGAAACGGAGCAGCGCTCAGCTCACAGCCTGTACCCAGGACCGAAGGTCGAAAGATGAGCTGGGCTCAAGCGAGGGGCTTCTGTGCGGCTCGGAGCCGAAGCGGGGACAGGAGCACTCAAATCAGCTCTGTGGTGAGGACACATCTGATGTGGCAGCCGAAGGCTGGCTGAAGTGAACATCGGGCTGATGAGATCGCAGAGAAAATGGCTTCAGCAAGACTACCAGAAATCTTAAAAAAAGTATTCCTTTCTCTGAAACTTAATACAAAGCTTACTGCATCGTGAAAGACAGCCTCATGTCCACCCTTGCTTATAAATGTCTCTTCGTAACATCACAAGTGGCTGAAATTCTGATTTTCAAATGACTACTGTTTTCCATATAAACTAGCATAGGAGGGAAGAAAAGAGAAAGCCGAATAATTTTGTCTCAGTTTTTATTAGACGGTACAAGCCATGAGGGATGGTTAAGCAAAGTTAACCTGAATGACACATGGACATGCCTCCCTTTCTCTCCTAAAAATTATTAATATTTAGAGGCTGGAGATTTGCATTCATTCCTAATAGAACTTTTTTAACCAGTTTCTATTATTATAAAAATGAAAATTAATTTAATGTCAAATTAAATCAAAAGGATGAGCACTCAGAATGTTCCAATGTAAGAAACAGAAGATGGGTACCATAAATTAGGCAGGTTTTTGGTGGCGCTGAGATCTTGCATCCTCCACTGACAGTGATTCAACTGCTTTATTTTTTGATGGATAACCATGCCTGTAAGGAACCGAACTGTGAGCACCTGCCTGGGGTTTGGCGTTTAGGCTGCTTGACTTCTCTGATATTTTATAAGCCATATACTTTTCAACTGTTTTTACACATCAGTGGTTTTCCAGAAGTAAGCACTGAACTCTCTGGAAGTCTTTGCCCAGGAGGATGTCATGCTAATTAATTAATTGCAGTAAGGAAAGCAACAGTATTCCAGGATAGTCAGAGACGAGAACAGCTCTGCCCGTAGTTTGCCTTGGCTTTGCATATTTGTGTGTTCCTTGTTAGTGTTTATCAAACTCAAATTATTTTTCTCCAGATAATGTTCTCATTCCTGTGCTCGTCCTGTTTTCTTCTGCATCCTCTCAGCTTGTTTCCATTCTCTTTTCTCTGGCATTATCACTTGTTTGTTCCTTTTTCTTTTAACGAAAGAGACCCAGACTACCCAGAACTGTACCTGGATCTGTTGTAGCTGTTGCAGCCTGGTTTGTTCCTTGTGCAACTGGAACATGACCAAGCATCTGGCTTTTTGCTTTGAAAATGAAAATCTTTGCAAAAAAACTACCACATTTAATTCCTGTCCTGAGAAGGAACCATGAGATGGTTACCTAGGTTTACCCACAGTAATGTTAGTGCTGTCCTACATTCCTATCACTTTTGTAGGCATGATTTCAGTCTCAAAAAGTTGGTACCAAGCTTTAGCTTCCAAGTTTCTTTTAATGATGGGTATAATTATTATTATGGGCATAAACAAAAAAAAAAAAAAGAGGGGAAGGACTGGTACTCATTAGTATCAACAGAGGCAGCTGAGCCCCGGTTTGTAAAGGAATACTCTAATAATTTTAGATGTGAATGCCACATTGAATATTCAGTTGTAGGCAATAGGAAAATGCCATTACTTTTAAGTCCTCGCTCATTTAAATGTACCGTTTAATAGATTGAAACTTGTCTACCTGTCCCCGCAAAATCAATATCTGGCTTTTCTTTTCATATAACAGCTAATTCAGTCAAAAAAATAGTCTTACAGGGTTACTGTGGATGATGTGGTAGTCCTTCTCTTGGCCATACATGTTCAGCGTTTCAGCTGTGTTCAGCTGGTCTGAAAGTTAATACGCAGGGTGATAAACTACTACTCTTCAACTGCGAAATGTTTTTGTAACCTTATTTATATCTGTCGTGACGCCATGTCTAGATGCAGAGGGGCCGTAGCTTGATACTGGTGATACAGAGCAACAAAAGCACACAGCATTTTATCAGCTCTTACAGCATTTCTCCATTGTCTCATCCAAATGCTGTCCTTGGCTTTCTGCTTGTTTTTTCCTGTTTTGAAAACTTTTAAGCCTTTACAAATGCTTTAATCGCTAATTATAGGAGCGTACAGCTCTTCAGATAACATATATGCAATACTGGGATTCAATCCCACTTCTCTGTCCTTTATGGCTCATTCTTCTTATAAATGTTTTTTTTTTTGTATAGTCAGTTATGGGTAAAAATCTTCACTGTAGCTCCTGGATTTCTTCATTTGGGTCCCAGATTCTTCACCTGCAACACCATTGCTGAAAAACAGATGGTTGGTTCTGTCCATCAGGTTCTAAAAACTTTAAATATAATTACTGAGCAATAACCTCTGGTAACTTTTAATTGTTTGAAGCTGACCAATAGCTGAGTCTGCCTTTTCTTGAAATAACATGTTTGTAGATAGTTAGCAACACTTTCTGCTTAAACTAGCTGTATGCCCAGGTTTTAAGGTGAACATATTTTGTTAAAAAGCATTTAGTTTTCGAAAAACAATTGTGTGGCTGGTTACCGTTCTGGTAACTGGATAGATCTCACTTGATCCTGAATCATAATGTTTCTGCAAAAGTAATGTATTCTGTATTTTAGGGTAGCACCTAGTAGTCTCAGCCACTAGGTCATCCTGCTGCATTGGGGAGAGAATTGCGCCGATGCTCAGAGTTTTTTTAGAAGCCACCATAACATACCATATTCTGAATTAAATCCAAGTTGATAGGCACGTACCACTCCACAGATGAGTTAGCCAGGTCTGGATTTTTCTTCAGATTCTAGCTGAAGCAATTATTGCAGGTTTTGTCTAGTATTTTGCATTATACACATTTCACAGCATCTAACTGGGATGCTATTTCATAGCACACTAGCTAGGAAACTACAGGCAGAGGAATCACCTGTGCTTTGAATGCAAGGATTGTTTCTGTCATAGAAGAATGCGATCCCATTGACAGACTAAGTAGCTGCGGCGATCGGCTTTGTCAGGGTTTCTGCCAACATTGTTAGCTACACTACAACGGTAATTCAGGTGGCTGAGGCAAAGCTATTAAAAAAGATGCTCCCTCATTTGGGAAAAAAATCTCTAACCTCCACAGTCAGTCAGACATCATTGCTAAAGAAGAAAATTTCGTTGTACTGTGTGCGCCAAATATTGTTCTTCAAACAAGAATTTCAAAAGGCTTTCATCACTTAAATCGCCTTTGTACATGCAGAAGACAAGCGGTGTGGATAACCAAATTAGAGTTCTGCTGCATTTCAGCAGCAGTATGAGAACGGGCACTCTCTTCTCCACGGTCCTCAGCACCGTGGAAGAGATGGAGGAGCAGGTCTGCATGAGTCTAACCAGGGTAATGACAAGTTCCCATATTCTCTTCTGCCTTGGTAAGAGCATATATCTGACAAGTGACGATTCCTACAACGCTCCTTAGAGTAGAAAATAACTCAACTATGTACAGATTGACTGACAGTCCAACAAAACGCTGTTGCAAGTACAGCCTCGTTAAGTGCCTTATGATAACTCAGAAAATGACTGCTTTGTAGGCAGCCGGCAAAAGTAAATGCTAGTGGTTTCAGCGTTCGTATTAAGCAGAAAAACTCAAGCCGGTTTGGTATGATTCACCTTCTTGCCAGACCCGTAAAGTCTCACAGTCCAACGTTTGATGTGGTGGAGAGACCTAACAATACAAACAAAGCAGATTTGCCTTTTTTTCCCCTATCCCAAGGGAGGACAGACAGCTCTCCAGTCTGAACAACTGTATCAGGCATATCCTGATGTGCAGCCCAAGGAGAGAAATCCAGAAGGCTAGCAGGGGTTCACATGCCAGCTTGTTCAGCTTAGAAAGTTTGAGTTTCAAAATCATCAGGAATGGTTTGTTAAAGGCATTGACAAGATGAAAAGCTCTACAAGTTTATCTTGAGCATTAAGGCTTAGTGTGCTACAAAAGGAGATTTCTTTTTTCATTTATTACAAGTATTCTTCAGTGCCAAAACAATACAAAAAAAAGGCCAAGGACAAAGTCTGGAGAACAGTGGCAGATGTTCAAGGTGCAATGGGTTTTGATCCCAATCAGTTTTCCTTCTCCTGTTTTTGCTTTTCTCTTTCACCAGCCATTTTTTATTTTTCTGATTTTTTTTCCTCTCTTCTCCCTATCCCTCCTCCCCAAGCAGGGGCTCAACAGAAAATGTATTAAATTAAATGTATGCTGAAGTGCTTTTACTTAGCATAGGAAGGGTTGAAAAGACTAAGCTGACTTAACCCGTAGTGAATTTGGCTGATTACAGTATGTTAATGCTTTTTGGCTTGAGAAGATAGCTCCTGTTGAGAGAATCAAACTATGAGGCTGAATAACAGAGTGCAGTGCATTTCGGTTAAAATTTTGGTTATTACAGGAGAAAACAGATCTCTTTCCAGATACAGGCATGCCAGATTTGCTCACCATTGAGACGTTAACCAGCTAATAGCTCCATTAGTAATAATTACCTGTGCTCTGTCTTTATTACCTAATATATTTTACAATGGAAAAGGGCACGCTAACCTTTTATTCCTTTCTTAAAGGCGCAAGATCTGAATGTGATCGAGGAAGTGATCCGAATGATGTTGGAGATCATCAACTCCTGCTTGACAAATTCTCTTCATCACAACCCAAATTTGGTGTACGCGCTGCTTTACAAGCGGGATCTCTTTGAGCAATTTCGAACTCACCCTTCCTTCCAGGACATAATGCAAAATATAGATCTGGTGAGTGATACATTATTTAAAGGATGCTTACATGTTGTTATTTGATCTCTTTATCCTTTTGAGAGGTGAAAAATATTCATCATCTCTGTCAGTTTATTTTAGAAAGTATTAAAATGTTGAGTTTCTCTCCCCTATTTTCTGGGCCTCCACTGTGACTTCTTCTGGGCAACATCTGTAACTCGGCAGAGCCAGGGGGATTTGGGATGCATCTGGTAAGGAATCCCAACCTGATACACATCCTTCAGTCCCCTAAGGAAGGACAGCGTTGGCTTCTCTTAACAGCCCCTTGTTAGAAACCTGTCTTTTGGGGGGAAAAAAGCAGATTTTCATCATCGACCAATCTTTTTCTTTTCTCTTACTCCCATCACGAGCCTATTAATGAATATGGGGGATGTTTTAAAAATAGCTAAGAGCAGACATTCAGCTGCCTTGTTCCCTGGGCTGTATCTGAATGTGTGTTGCTTTCACCCGCAAAATGTCTCTCCACAGCAATCCCTTTGGGTAAGTAGACATTTTAGAGGAAAACAAAAGGAAATAGCGGTGGATCAGAAGCTGTTACTGGTGTGGCTCTCCATGTATGACTTTGGAGTATGACTTTGGAAAACAGTTAGTTGTTAATTAATTATTGCTGCATCTGATAGTGGCTTTAATGTTCATATTGAGAATCTGAGTAATGATTCCTGCTAGAAAATAACAGATTTTAAGTGCAAGAAATATTTCTCTGTCCTCTGGTCAGTATTTGCAGAGCTAAGCAATGCCTGAAGTCATGCTGTGACCACTGGATATGAAATAGTGGAAGGGGAGGCCGAACAGGATGCTAAATTTCTTGCTGCAGTGAATAGCGAATTTATTCGGTGTGAATAAAAATCTGCTGAGGTTCTGGTTTGATCTGCTTTTATTTTAAAATATTACAGAAGATTGACAGATTTCTGATGATCCATAAAGGAAAGTAATTTTAAATGTCGAACTGAAATCCTGCTCTGTACCTATCTCTTCCTCTTCTGTTCTCACTTCATATTTTCTGGTCGTGCAAGAGCTTGGAGAGCAGAGGATTCGGAGCTCAAAACTCTCCAAAATTTTGGCAGCTGCAGACTACAGCCAGCATGATACTGCCTGGATGATTAGGACAAGATGTCTTCAAGTTGTGTCAAGAGAGGATATGGTGCAGTGAAGATAAGTTGTCTTCATTCTTGACTGAGATAGGGACCTTCTCTGGTTACTTTTTCAGATCCAGGAAAGGTGGTGGCCAGATCCTTCTGCACGACAGCCCCATGCCTCTCGCAGATAGCAGCACGTCCTTTCCTTTGTAACACTTAAATGTAGGTTTTCCTCAACAATTTAAACAATTCCTCCCCAAAACTATTTAATATTGGGTTACAGCATAATGCCAGTTACATTCAGAAACTATTTAAAGCTTTCCAAGGGAGCATGTTGAATTTTTAAATAGCTCCTTTGTTAGAGAAGCGAGGATGTCAAAAAAAGATATTTTTTTTTTTAAATGTACCTGTCACCAGCTGGCAAGTGGTGAGAGCTGTCAGGCTTGAAGACCTGAATAAAAGATTAGATTCAGCTGACTCCTCTTCTACCCTGTCACATCCTCCACTTCATACACAGTATCAGCAGCACTACCATCATGGACAGAACCAGTCTTTGTCTCGTGTGCTACAGCCAAATTGTTCTAACTGGTCTTCCTATCCCTTGAAAAAGTGGCAAATCATGTTAGTTTTACTATACACATGGGGGGAGCTTGTCTGGAACCATCTGGGCAGTGTCTGAGAAGAACCAAAATGAATTCCTGGCTCCCAGACTTTGCTCAGGCTTTTCTCTGCAGTGATGGAGGTGGGAGCTCCATCCTCATGGCCACAGGACGTTGTGAATGTCTGAAATGTTTGTGTGCTCCAAAAGGAGTCAGAAAATCATGGAGGGAGAAAAAAATCTTTAAAGATTTGGGTCAATAAATTCCTAAACTGTGTGTTGCTGGAAGCTGGGAGGGTGTATTCATGGGGAGGATCTCCCTATTCTTGACCTGCTCTGATATTCTTATTTAAGCATCCATCCCAGCCTACTGTCAGAGGCAGAATAGTGAGCTGACCGGGCTTTTCGTGTGGCCAAGGCTGGTTATTCAGAGGAGGATGGATCCACCAACTTCCCATGTATCAGGGAGCCATGCTGGGTTTCAGGCTGCCATGCTCAATGTAATTTGGTGGCCCAAAGCATGTGAACCGTAGGTGTAAATGGTAGATGTTGCAGCTTTTGGTAATGGAAGGGTGGGGAGGAGAAGTTATCTTTCTGAAGACCCCAAAGCATGTCTGCAGAGGCTGTGCTGCATCCTGATTCTCTCCATCGGTACTTTTTCTAGTCATTAAACAGCAAAGTACATTTAGATTATCTCCACCCACACTGTAGTGGAAGTATGAGTGTAATTTCCATCATCAGATGCCACTAGAGGTCCACACAAGCAGAAGGTGCATTTTATGTTCTGGGTCATTCCAAATCCTCCTTACATTAGGTGTAAGGTTTTCTGATCCTAAACTCTAGTCCAGATTTGTATTTCATATGGAAATACTATTAGACAGCATGGTAATGTTCTATATTGAAGAAATCTGAACAACATACAGAATATGTGCAATCTATAATGATTTTTGGACACTAAAACAGTTGCCAGGTTGCTTTGTCAAGAATGTATAAAATGGATATGACATATCTTGACTTTAATAGTTACTGGTTTTACTCTGCTGCATATAATGTTCTCATAAATCAAATAGGAAGCACGGAAGAGGTGAAAATGCTAAAATGTGGATGCAAAATGAGTTGGAAAATGTACTGAGAAGATGTAGTTGATGGTGCAAATGGAAGGAGGAAGGAGGCATCTGCTGCAGTCCTGTGTGGGTATGCAAAGGGAGAATAGCCCAGAGGTGTCCTCTAAGCCTACTCATGCTAGTGACTTCTTAGCTGGATTACTCTGGGTTTAGGCACCATGGAAGAAATTCTAGGGAGAAGCAAGAGCTGTAGAAAACGGGACCTCTAAGGACAAATAGAACGGGTGCTGATTAGCCAAAGGAAGGCTAAAGGTCATGTGCTATTTTTCAAATAAAACACTGCTGTGAAGGGAAAGGGAATAACCTGTTTCACGTATTCGTGGATTCACAGGTCATAAGGACAGACTTTCTAATGTTAATAATAACGAAGCACTGTGGTAGGTTTCCAGGGTCTTCAACGTTGGAGACCTCTGGATAGCAGACCTTTGGCAGGATGACACTGGGGCAGAGGACAGAGCAGACATGTCTGTAGGCACACGTGAATATGGGGATGGCTCTGCAGCCCCACCAGCTCCTCAGACCAGAGCGGCAATTGCCCAGGTTAGCTGTGGGACACACTTAGTCACAGTAACTAAGGACTTTGCTTCACGTTTGGGACCATGCAGGTTACTCTGGAGATAACACATAACCTCTGTGTGCTTCATACTTGAGGCAAAAAAACGGGTAGGTGTATAGAACACTATTTTATTGAAAACTACTTACCTGCCGCTGGGTTTTTATAAATAAGCTAAAAATCACCATTGCCAGCTGATTGGGAACATATGGGAACAGTTAATGCTGTACAGAAGAAACTGAAATCAAAATACCTTCTGTTTCCTATTAATTTACTTTGCATTTTAGAAAGTCATCTTAATAGGATATTGTGCATCTTGTTTAGCTAAATGGGATATTCTTCCTCTGGATGGTGAACAAAGAGGAATGCTATGGTTCCTGCTCTGGCCTCCTGCAGAAATGTTTCAGCTGTGAACTATCTACATGCCTCCATTTCAGAGGTGGTCTATAATTTGGTCAGCAACCTCAAATGGTGGAGACTCTTCATTAGCAATTCCTAAAGATGAGTTTGGTTCATGGCGATCGTGAGAACTCGCTGGATTCCATTACTTTCCTACTTCCTATGAGCTAGTGATAGATATCGTGTGGTTGAACAGGCTTAGCTAGGAGCTGCTAGAATTTTGTTTGCAAAATAGTCTGATAGAAATCAGGAGGTCGGGAGCAATGGTTTAGTGATGCAAAGGATTTGATTGATGCAATTTCCTACTAGGAATTTAATCCTCTGAAGATATTTCCCTGCTAGATTTTAAAATCAGTTGAGTTGGCTTGGCTCTGGCATAGCAACTCCTATTTCAAGACCTGCAGGACTTGCAGTGAACATGAGAACTGATCTTTCATGGTTTTCCTTAAAATACCCATGAAAAACCTTGATCCTAGTTACTTAGCAGCTAGTTACTGCTGGCTAAATACTTTAAGTGATTTTTTTTTTTTTTCCCCCCTCTTTTCTTTTTTTTTTCTCCCCACTCCTACCCACTTTCTTTGCTAGGAATGGGGAGATAAGAAGAGCAGAGTACCTTGAAAAGTTCATGTGTCTTTGAACATGCTCCTAGTTTCAAGGTGAATCTGAAAAACTTCAGTACTTAAGTTTGCTGATAAACCTTTTGTGTTTCTCCTGCTACTGAATCACCTGAAGCAGTTTCGTCCCTTCTTAAATCAGCGAGGGTTGGCTTTGCCTCACTTTTGCTCCAGGACAGAGGGTATGGCTATCGGCTGCTGAACATAGCTGTGATTTATGTTTTCCTAAGGAAGATACTTAGCTGAAGTGCTAATCCTGCGGTACTTTATGACAAGAGGTTTGTTTTCTCCTTTTCTTCTCCTTTCAGTGTGCCGTCAGTACAGCGTGTTACTCTGCCAGCGGTGAAAACGGCTGGAAACGTAAAATAGCCGATGTCAAAATGTGCGTCTTTCTCTTTTCATCACCTTCCAAAGGAAAAAAAAAAAGACAAAAAAGGAATCAGAACTTTTTCATTTGGTGCCAAGTTATTTTTTTTCTCTTTTGCAGAGTTAACCTTGACAGTCGCGGGCAGAGGAGGCGGCAGTGAATCGCGCTGTTATTTTTAGCTATGGAGAAAGCGAGGAGCTGTAGTGTTAGTTAGTTAGGCTGCGGCACTGGCTGTGAATGGGCTGGGGCATCGCAGCACTTCAGCATCCACTGAAAGAATCCAAGTGGAGAAAACATGTTGTCCTTGATAGCTCTGCTGCTTGGTGCATGCTCTAGTAAATAGAAATATTTCTTTACTTCAGCCTTTCAGCCCTATTGAAAACAATAGATGGGTGAAATAATAGACGTTGTGGTTATTCCCTCATAATCTTAAAAAAAAAAGTCCAAAAACTACAATGTCTCTTTTAAATCATTCTAGCTTTCTTGCAGCACTTTTCATCTCTGGAAATACTTTGTAAATTTATTGTTTAGAAAACAAAAGGACTAAAGATGAGTCTCTTAGGGAAAATTGACCTCTTAAATGGAAAAGCTTTATGAAAACCAATTTTGGAAATCACTATAGAAAACAGTTTTTATTTAGAGATCTTGAGTGTATTAATGGTATATTAATACAAAGCCTGGAAATCCCTGAGCTGATGGTGACCAAGCCATGTCGCTGCATACCCCTCGCACCGCATGGTTGGGTAGCTTGCACAACCAGAATCAGGCTCTCTGCTCAGGGCAAGGAGCTGTAGATACACCATTTTATCTGGACGCTGATAAGATATTCCTGATGAGGGGTTGTCTAATCCAGGATTAGACGTGCCTTTTAATCTCTGTTAATATGGAAGCCAGATTGGAGAAAGAGCTTTTTAAAACGGGTTATGTTCCTCACATGGAGAGGGCCTTTCAGCACGCAGCATGACTTGGATACGAGTAATTCACAGCAACTCGTTAAGTTTCTTGTTATTCTTCTTCTTAAGCAGTCTTTGCAGTTATTCTCTGTTTTCTTAGACCAGTTGCCCAAATAATTAATGAGAAAAATAATTTTCAGAATATCAAAAAATGTATACCATAAGGAAAAAAGAAGTCCATCTCTCAGTCTAGTTCGTTTGCCTGGAGATTTGCTTTTTTCTATACATTACAGTAATATGCTCAGCATTGGGTTTTAAAGCATGTGCTAAAACTTGAAACTCCTTTAATATTATCCAGCCAGTTTGCTTTTTCTGGTTTGTTTTCTTAAGTGGACAAGGAGTTGAAATCTGTTAATTTTCATTATTATTTTAAATGCGGCTCTGTTACTTATGTGTGGAAGATAATTAAAGCTCTTTCAAAGGAGAAGGCTACTCTTCCTTAATATTATGTTAAGCTTTTATATTTTTATATTTGGGCAGGTTACTAGGTAAAGTGTTAGACCGTCTGCTTCAGAAGGGACGGGAGCTTGGGCAGTAGGGATGTCGTGCTGGATGCTTTTTGGTTTTATTGCTGATCTAATGCTAATAAGCAAATGCCTCTTGTAGGATCTCCTCTATATAACTCATCTTTTTTTTTTTTTCCCTTCTTCTCCCTCCCTTCCCCCGCCTTTTTTTTTTCTTATTTCATTGAGGTACTTGTTGGGTACCTGAGTATCTCATTGGGGTACTGTACTATCAGGGTTCCTATCAAGAATTACTCCAATTCTATATTGTCTGAAGTAGTAAGGCAAATAATGCTTAGAGATAATTAGTATTATTTAAGTAGATATTTTTCATTTCAGTCTTCCACTGCGTACCAAAAATAGCCATTCAAGGTTCTGTGAAATGCTGACAAAGCCGGAAAATACTGGAAGCCTATCGCACTTTTGTTCTTTGTGAAATATAACTCAACCAAGATTAGTACCTTTACCACAAAAACATAAAAGTCTTTTAAAAACATGTTAAGATTGGAGGCTTTGACTTTCCAAAATAGGAAATGCCAGAATTCAGGTAGTATCTGTGAGCTTCATTCAGTTTTTTATGCGTATGCATTATGATAGTATTTTATCCTTTTGATTAAAAGCCGAATATTAAATTTTGCTTTTGTTGTGGTTTAGCAGAACTTGAGCTAACAAGGCAGCACTAGTGGGATGGATTCTCTGGGTGAGCCTGCCCTGGGCGAGGATAGGTTTCACCAGCGATTACTGACAACAGAGGAGTCTTGAAGTGCAGGAAGATGGGTTTTTTTCTTTCGAAGTTTGTGGGCAACTTGCTCGTTCCTCTATGAGCTGTGTATTCTCTACCAGCAATTTGTCCCAGACTCTATGCCAAAACCATGTCAGCCTCACGCCGAGGTCCTCGCGCTCTTTGCGCAAGCTGTTTCTTGCCATTTTCCTCTGTAATTTCTGATTCCTCCCTCCAGCTCCTTTGCTTATGAACTCAGCACATCTTCCTACTCCTGTTTTTTTTCAGGGATCAGAGATCACAGCTCTACAGCGGGTCCTTATCTGTAAGAATGTAAAAACCTACCTGCCACATCTGCCAGAGGCAATGAAATTCTCCCTTTTATTCAAGTATGGAGATAATCGTAAGGACAGCACAGAAGGTTAAACCTGAATTTTCTCTTGACTGATTTCCACACATCTGTTGTTTAAAACAAAACAGAACCAAAAAAAAAACCCAACAGACCACAACAACCCCAAAAAGCAACTTCCAGCAACTGTCATCTGTCTCTATCTCGCTTGGTGCTTCAGTTTCTAGAGAAAATTGCTCTGCGATCCAGCAAATCTACCTGCTCAAAACAAGGGCTAGGGTTTCGGGGATCACAAGAGAGGAACAACAAATTTGAATCTCACAGTAATCAAGCCATCAGCTGTCTTTGTTTTATTAACAGCAGCTGAGCTGGGAGGCATAATTAGGGTAATGGTTTCTGGCTCCAGCTGTGTCTCACTACAGAACAAAGAGAGCTCAGCAGAGATTTTGTCGTATAATACACTTTTCCCCCCTTCTACTTGGGAGAATTAAAAAAGATTACTCGATGTGCTGGAGGTTGGGATTCAGATACAAGAGGACATTAGTGCTTTTCAGAGGAGAGATGTCCAAAGCCTACGAGATGTCGGGGAACTGACACGTGCAGTGCGTGGAAGCTGTGCGTGGCTCCAGCCAAGGGGTAGCTGGGTGCTCACGTGTGCATGGGCTCTACCAAGTGGCTCTGACCATCTTGTGGTACTTTCAAAGGACTCTAAGTAGGTGTTGAAATTTTGCCCCGTACTCTTTTTGCGTTGTTTTGAGTTTCGGATCCCCTGCGTGACTGATGAGTTCCTCTGGGATAAGGGATGGGGTTTGCAAAGTGTGCTCTTTTTGGATGAAAGGAGCTATAGAAATGAAGGTTTTCTGATGTCCCACATGGAGAACTGCCGGTGGGATGTCTGCTTCTGGTGTGACCTACTGAGCTTGGAGAGGGATAAAAGTTAAAGCCTGACCTAACTGTGTTCTAGCTAACAAGGACCAGCTGGGTCACAGAAAGGGGGTGGGGAGGGAAATATGGTGAAAAGCAGCTTGGCCTCACCAGGGAGATGCATGGAGGATGAGAGCATTGAAAGGGAACATACAGGTCCTTGGGCCTGGAATCCGTGATGGAGAAGATACATGGGGGGCTTCGGGTGGTTAATTTGGGGAGGAGAGGAGCTTTGTGGGCTTCCCCCCCCCTCTTCCAACTGCTGTGGCTTTGGATGCTACAAAATCCCCAGGCAAGTCATGTAGACTCTTGTAGTTGTATTGAGATATTTAATAGTTGTCTTAAAGCCTTCTATCCAGGAGTCATTGAAACGGTAAGGATTTTACTTTAGTGCTTGAAAATGAAAGTAAATTTCTAGCCCAAAATACAAAAACTAGACTGGAAGGCCTCGAAAATCCTGACGTGCAGAAGTACTGACAGATAGAAATATAAGCATATGTCAGTGCACGGTACTTGAAAATGTAGATTTATTAATTCAGCTGTGTGTGTTAAATTGTAAAATCATCTATCCGTTAAAAATGACTGCAGGAGAATACTGATAATTGTGCTAATTTGACATTAACAAGATCTCCCTGGCTGCGACACAAGCAATAACATGATTATTCTTTACAAAGTACAGATACATTGATCCAGGGAAAGAAGATGACAGCTTCGTGTGTAAATTGATACAAAGATCTCTTCTTTTCTATTTATTTCTGTGTTCTGATTTTTCATTCCAGGTGATCAGCTTTTTCAGCTCGCGATTAGAGCAAGCTGGAGCTGAGCTGTCAGTGGAGCGAGTTCTGGAAATCATCAAGCAAGGAGCTGTTGCTTTGCCCAAAGACAGGCTGAGAGTAAGTGCTCAAGACCTCATCAATTAACGTGTACTGTTCCAATCAATTACATACATACCCTTTATATCCATAACGTCAAAACATCATTTCTCCTATCAAGAGCGGCAGATAAGGGATTGCATTGTGGATTGCCATATGTGTCTGTTTTAATTTAAATCCCTAATTTGTGCTAACTGTTTGGATGAGTTTTTTGATTAGTTATTAAATTGAAGCGTGTGGAGGAATTAACGTTTGCTGAGGCTAAGGTTTTCTTCATCATATCTCGAAGATGCAATCACACCTCTCCATCCGTTGTTTAGTTAAGCTGTAACCAAACTTTGATTTTTTTTTCCCTTTTGTCTGTTTTTTTGTTTTTTGTTTTTTGTTAACTTAGTCTTCTTTCTCTAGTGCTCTGCACCTCCATCTGGGTCTATATAAAATGCTACAAAGATAAATTTCTGGGACTTCAGTTAAGAATTAACCAACCTACTGAAAATCAGTTCAGAACCTGTAAGTCTGGTCAGCATGATAATGAACTTTCTGTATAATCCTGAGCAGACCCCTTCGTTCTCTTCTGAGAATCTCTCAAATCTTATGAGGGATTTACCAACTTGACAGGTTTTGTGAGGCTAAAATCCATTAATGGCTGTGTGGTATTTAAATACTGCAATAATGAAATCTGTGTAAGTAGGTAAGTAAGCAAATGGGAGTTATATGTGTTTTTTAAACACATGATGAATTTTCTTCTCCATTATGCCAAGTGTATTTTAAATACTGTCTGCTTTCTGCAGAACCATTTTTGTTCCTACTCCATGATAAGAGAGCAGGAGCATCTTCTCACGATTCACTTCTTTTGTGATAATTTTAGGAAAATATCATCTGATAAGGCACACTGAGTACACACGGCCATTGGCGATGGCTGGTAATTTATTTATACCTTGGTAATTTTAAAACACCCAGTGGGAATTGTCTAGCTGGCTGCATATACTAATGTCTTTCCTACAGTTCCCTGTGTCCCTGAGATGGCACATATTTAGTCACTCGGACTGAATTACTTCGGGAGAGATTGGTCTAAAGTCTGAGTCCTGAGCCGCAGTACAGGAGTAGCCTAAGTAACACCAGAGGAGTTGTTGGATCCAAATCCAGCCCTTCAGGTTGTGTCCTTGCTCCACTGTGATGCTGTGAATACAGAGAAACACTGGACCTTTTGCATTTTCTATGACAACTTATTCTTACGTGCAGATAATTAAAAGCCCTTATGTTAAGAGGCTACAGAGACATAGAGCCATCGCTAAATAAATTCGCTGCTTACAAAAAGAAGAAGGTTTTATCAGTTACTTAGTGTGCTGGATTGACTTGCATGTTGGGCCACGATTTAAAGAAATGTTGTTTCTGGAGTGAAATCCCATCAAGTTTAAATTTTCTGCATTAATGATATACAGCATTCAAAATGACATGTTTATATTGCCACTTAAATCAACAGATCAAAATTTTTTGACAAGTGCCAAGCTCTGTAAGTCCTCACCAAGCAGTCGAGTACTTCCAATTTTAAGGATGCTTATAGTGTGACTTGGAGCGCTTACCTTTCCTCCGAAGGACTTGAGTTTGGGGGCAGGGTTACCAAGTGAACACAGTCAGTCTGGCACTGCCCGCTTTCACCTACTGGATTTTATCATTTTTTTCAAAATCCTTTTGCTGAGCAGCAGTTTGGCCAGAGCAGGTTACTCCTGCATGGAAAAAAGTTGGTGGCACTGACTTTGGTATCTGTAATGTCATGCATTAATTTGTAAATGCAAATAACATCCTTTCTTTGCACAGACAGTAATGATGAGCAGCACGTGATTCCCTCCTATAGAAATGACCTTGTGAGTCTTCATGCCCTCTGTCCTTGTACCTCTCTCCTAGGAGTCTCCTCAGGTCTTCCCACTTCGGTCTCAGAGGTTTTCAGGGGAAGCTATTCTAAAGCTCAACAAAATCATATTAAGATCAGACTAAAGATATAGTTACACAATAACTCTGGCAACTCTGAGGAATTTCAGCAGCTAAATAAAGGAGAAAGCTTTAATCCACATGTCTTTAATGACACTCTCTGGGCATGTCTGGATGGGTGGGAGCAGCCCTACCCGCAGTCGCTTTGCCTGCACAGTAGGCTCCGTGGCTGTTCGCGTCGCTAAGCTCACATCTGCGAGCTGGAAGCTGTCTAGCTGCGTAGACCAACTAATATTGCCTGATGAAAGGATATTTTTCTAACGCAGGCTGGTTTGGGCACAGCCAATTCAGAGAAGTGGCTTCTGGATAGGAGTTGGCTTGTGCCTGGCCAGCTTGGACAATGTGTGGAGGAATTATGGGTCTGTTGCGTCTGGGTTGACGTGACCTACACGTAATTACGACATGCAAAGCTGTGGAGTTTATTCCTGAGAATTTAGATCAGCTTTGCAGTTAATTGCTAATTAATTTTCAAGCCAGTCTTGCCTTTTGCCATAACATACTGAAGTGCTCTAAAGTACAAGAGACCCCGCAGAGATATTACTCCTACCTCCTAGAAATTACCATCTTCAGCTGAAGCACTCTGAGGGAGGCGGTTGAAACATGAAGAGGTTATGATTTGGAAAAATGAGAACTGAAGCTTTTACTCGCTTGCTTCCCTGCAGCTCAATGGTGGTTTTTTTCTTATTTATAAGTACCTAATGTACGCACAGATAAATACAGTGAATGTTTTCAAGTTGCTTATCTCGGCCTTTGTCGAGGAAGTGAGCATTCAAGAGGCGTTACATGTATTCAGATCTTGAGTCTGTTGCTTAGACCATAGTTCAAACATGAATAAACGTCAACTAAAAATAACAGCACTTAGAGCCACGATCCTGATCTGCATAATGGTGCTTATCAGTTTTGTAGCACACCCTGGTACTCCTGCTCCCTTTCACTGTGGGAAGCAACATGGGATGAAAAGTGAGCATGTGTGTTAGCAGTAGGTCATATATACATATTTTTTTTTTTTGTACGTGTGTTAGGAAAGATATCCTGCGTTTTCTTAGCAAATAATTATTGGGAAATGGGGCATCTAACTCGTATTTTCCTTCCAGTCCTGGAGCAATCTGACTGGAGACAAACAATATAATTAACATTATTTTAAGCGTATGCTTTTAGCCGTGTACTGTGGAAGGCAGGGAAAGTCCAAGCTGAGTAATTAGCCTTTTAGAAGACTTCTGCATAAACAGAGAGATAAAGGGCAGGTGCTGAAATCAGGAGCTGGTTATTTCTCCTTCAGACTGTGGGAGGAGATAAATGAAGTTAATATGCCCGGGACGGAGGCAGAAGCCACGGCGTGGAGATAGAGCTGTCTCCTTCGCAGACGAGCAGCCCACAATCCAGGCTCCCTGTTTTATTGCAGAAGCTTATTAAAGGCAATTTAGAGATCATAGTGATAGGTGAAAATTGGCCTCATTCTTTCTTTATTTTTATGTTTTTTTAAAAGTTCTCAGGCTGCCTTTTTTCCCGTTGGTGAACTATCTGTACTTTCAGGATTAGGAGCGTGAGAGAAGTGGGACTGTGTCTGGAGTCTGCGAGTTATCTCAGGATTTCAAGGGGAGTTAGCCAGCAGATAACCGCTCTTTTACAATAAGTGGGAAAACTTGTTTCGAATGCCAGCTAGTGACTGGAAGCTGACATTTGGGCTCATGGAATGATCACACTTGGGAGGCCACATTTAATGCTTTAGAAAAGAAAAGTTCCCATTAGCTAAGCCACTTAAGGCAGTGATTTCATTTTCGTGAACATATTCTGAGCTGTTTTTCTCCTATTCTTTTTCTCCCTGTGTCAATGAGTATTTTGTCATCAGTGTGCATTCTGTCATACGTTCTTGATGTGTTATGCAGATATGCCGTTATGCCATCAACTCGCACCTTTTTGGTATGGTACAAAATTTAATATTTATTGAAGTGCATTCTAGTTCGACAGGCATTAAAATTTCACAGAATATGTAAAAGGAGCAGAGGTAAAAGCCTTCAGTCTCTTGACAGAACAAGTTTCGCTTTAGGTGTTAAAAGCACTTCTCATAGATTTTCCCTTCTATTAACGACCTACTTCCAACTCCTTCAACTTCCATTTGTTTCATGGGAGAAAGCCCCTAATCATCGAGGCACCAGAGCGCAGGGGAGAAGAGTAAATTGTCATCGGAGTGATGGTAGATACCGCCTGGCAGCTGGACCAGAACAGCTTTTTGTCCCTGGCACATCACCCTGCTCCTGGGGAACCAGCGCCAACACCAAAAGTTCAGCTTCCAAAAGCGTCATAAAAATACCATGGTTGTTGACTGAGGTGGCAGTGAATTCGATGGGGGACGTCAAGCGTAGATACTTTCAACTCTGGAAAGAAGGTGTAACCATAAAAGAAAGTGCATGTGAAGTCCCCAAAACTGAGGAAGTCTAAACAGTCTCTTGGTTTAGCTACGGAGCTCTCTGGAAAGGTTGCCCTGTTTCTGCAGATGCTTCTCCTAGGGAGGAGACATCAACTGTTCAACAGTCATCGGTAATGTCACACCAGGCGGAGGGGCAGGACACTCACACGGCGCCCCAGATTGCGAAGGAAATTGGTAGCATTTTATATATATGCATCCTACCTAACGTGATGTTCATCCCAAGAGACCATCCGTTGTCCCATCTTCCATTACAGTTGCTCCTGATGATGGGGTTTTTTTCCAGAGTCCTGATGTCCTTAGTCCTCAGTGGTTGTTATTTGGCCACGGCAAGATGCTGGCTTCAGAATCCAGACCAGTGGTCTTTAATGATCTAAATTAAACCTTGGGGCAGATCCGTAATTCTTAAGCTATGTACAGCTTTCTTGCATTTGTTTTACTGCTGTAACAGTACCTCCCTACCACGGGTTTTAGGTAGAAGATTGCACAAATTAACTCTGTATGACACTGTAAAGAGGTAGGGGCAGAGGAGTTATGGAGACCAGCAACTCCTTTACAGAGATCTAGGACACAGCAGTAAGCAAGAGAGACAGAAAACTTCCTTAAA